ATAACTCCTGCTATGGAGAATGTGTGATTAACTATAATGGTGCTGTCGATGTTGTCTTATTCTTTATCCTTCCCATTACTGCCATTGTCATTCTGTATATGAGAGTGTTTGTGGTGGCTGCATCTCAGGCCCGTGCCATGCGCTCCCACGTTGCAGCTGTCACACTGCAGCGTTCAGTGACTGTAACTGCTAAGAAATCAGAGCTGAAAGCAGCCAGGACTCTTGGCATCCTTGTTGCTGTGTTTCTCATGTGTTACTGTCCATATTATTCTGCTGCTATCTCCGGCTATGCCATCACACTTGGTTTTTCAATGAATTTAGTTATTGCTTTTATGGTTTATTTTAACTCCTGTCTAAACCCTGTGATCTATGCGTTTTTCTACCCCTGGTTTAGAAAATCTGTTAAACTCATTGTAACACTTGAGATACTGCAGCCTAACTCCTGTGAGGCCACCGTACTATAGAGAGAAACTGTAGAGACTGAGAAGAGACACATGGCCTTTTCAATGGCAAGACAAATGTGTTTTTATATGCTGCTGCTGACTTACTGAAGTGTAAAGCATTCAGTCTGGATATGTAATGATGCTCTTGTGTCTCGTTTTAACTGTTTTCATCACATGTAGCAGTTCAAGCACTGCCTTTACTCCAGTTGTATCTTCTGTAATCTTTTCAGAAGTGTCCCTGTGTCTGTTGTAGGTTTTTAAATGATTATTTTATCTCTGGGTTTCTTACCACACTAGTATAATAAGCACCTAACTCTTTCACCCTATTTATTTTAAATATATATCCCAGTAATCTAATATAAATGAAGCCTAACCTAGCCAGAAATTACCCTGCATTTGTGTCATACAGTATTTTTCTGCACTATGCATGAGGAATGTTTTTTTATATATATAAATGCTGAAAGTGTTGTACTGTTGTGTCCCACTTTTTGTACTGAGATAGCCGTTAAGTTAAATCAGCGTAATTTTTCAGATAAAATCTTACTGCCCCTTTTTTTTATATATATTTTTCAAAATAAGAAATAAAAATACAAAAACCAACAGTACAGATCTAGGCTTTCAAAGTGTCATACTTTTTTCACCGCGCTGTATTTGCGGTGCCCTGTCGGTGGCGCTACATCAATAATGCAGTGCAGGAGGCTCATAAAATCCAACATGCAGTTCTCCCTTTGGCCACCAAATGTCACAAAGCCTATCATACCATCCACCAACAGTATAGGGTTCTGAAATGTCAGACCATACAGTACTAAACGCTGGGTTTCACGTATTCTAGTCAAAGATCTACTGCATTAAACAGTAATGAAGTGAACACAATATACAGTAGACAACTTCTTTGTAAACACTCATTTTAAATTTGACTTATCACACAGCTGCTGTCATAAGCCTGTATCCATGTCGACTTTGACAGTGTGGTGGACATAAAATCAGTAATCCTCTGAAGCAACATATTTTTGAATGAATGAATCCTTGCATATCTCTATAGCCACAGGAAACCTCTGTTATCATTTGGAGAGGATAGTGAAGCTACAATACATAGCGCCAGTAATTTGGGTGCTAGGGTTTGAGTCAGCTTTGCATTTTGGTTGAAAACTATCAAATGTAACCATAAAGTTTGATACCACTACTATGTTCCAATTCTAACCTACTGGCTATAAACATGTAATATATAAAAGTAACCCAAGTAGTATTCTATTAGGCTATCTATGATATATATTAAAATCTAGCAGGACACAAGACATAATGCAAAATCTCACTTTGCCCAGTATTTGAGGTAGTAAACCCTCATACTCTATGCTACTGGATGGTAGAATATAGTAAAAGGAAGCCTACGGTGGCTTCAGAAAGTATGCGGACCACTTGAATTTTTGCAAAGTTTGTGTTGTAGATTTGTTAATATGATTTTGCAAATGCATTAACAACCAAAAAGAGAAATCTCTCATTCACAAAGGTATTCAGACCCTTATTCAAGACTTGTTGGCAGCATCTACAGCTTGTCACCTTTAGCTTATCAAATATGTTAAATATCTTTTGGTTAAAATTATATTTGAAAATGCTCATTATCAATAAGAATGTGATAAACCAAAAAAAGTGGTATTCAGCATCATCTAAGACTTGGCAACAAAGCAATACCATAAAATGACCATTTATCCCATCTATATTAGTATTTATTCATTCCTTTTATGCGTGATTTGTTTGTGGTCAGATAATAAAGGCAGATAAACACGATTACAGTTTTTTCTTAAGTGAACACATGGGGCAGTGGCTTTTGGTCCACAGGTTTCTGACACTTGGTTTTTAATTCTCCATCATCATATCTTAAGTCATGATTTCAGTATCAATCACAGAATGCATCATGGAGGTCAGAATTAGTGTGTGATGAGTTACAAATGATCTACAGATTAGAATGGCTCTGTTTTGTCCTGAAACACACCACACCACTGGTTGACATGCTTCCTCATTACAAAACACCAAACTTGCATTTTTTTTTTTTTAAATGCTGCTCCAAAGGCTCCGAACTGCCATAACTTGTGACAGCATTTGACATAAGCAAGAGCGATGGGCCAGTACATGAGATATCTGGATATTCTTAACAAATATCAGGGTCTTGTGCTTTGTAGTGAGGAAACATGTCACTAAATGCAGCGGTGTGTTTCCCTGGTGTGTTTTTAATCTTTTTTGAACAGCAGTGGACATCCAAGACGAATAAACTAATCCAGGACTGGCGGATATTAACAGTGAGTAGAATTAGTTCATTCATTAGTTTTAGTCTCTCTACAGGGAGTGTTGAAAATGCTGTTAATATAAAAAATGACTGATCTTCTCCTTTAGTATAAGCTTAGTGTCCAGTGTATGGGTGGGTGGGGACAACAGTCTGACCAGTATAGCGCATCATTCTAACTGTACTATCATTTGCGGAGTTGTTTCCCCCACACACTTCAGCTGTATTTCTTGTATAAAAGTGTATTAAAATAGCATCATGGAATCAGCATCTGGCAGGCGCCAGTCACTCGAAACGCACAGAACTGGCTTCACCTCTCAGCTGTGGTGGCTGTTAAAGCATGTCACCATGACCTAATGCATCGTCTGCTCAACTGCATCTATAAACGTGAAGAAAGAATTTATTTAGTTAATAACAATGTTTGGGGTCATTTGCCTTTATTTATGCATTCCAGGGTTTAGAAATCACAGCAAGATGTCACAGTCTCTGCATGTATAAAGTAAGACTTATCTGTCTCAGTCACAAAGAACACACAGTACTCAAAAAGCAAAACAAAACCAAAAAAAAATCTGTTCTTTAAGGACACTTGAAATGAGTTTTACAACCCCAAATTAGAAAAAGTTGGCATGGTATGGAAAAATCAAAATTAAAACAGAAAGCAGTGATGTGTTAATCAATTGTTTCCTGTATTACATAGAAAACAACACAGCAGCACATCAGTTGATGTGATACCTCATCAACTTTATTCTTTGTTTAAAATAAACACACTTCTATTCTGATGCCTGCAACACATTCCAAAAAAGTTGGGACAGTAAAGCGTTTACCACGGTGTGATGTTATCGTTCCTTTTCACAACACTTAAGAGACGTTTAGGGACAGAGGACACCAAGTGATTACGTGTGTCAGGTGTCATTTTGTCCCATTCCTCCTGCAAACAGGTCTTAAGATCCACAACAGTCCTGGGTGTTCGTCACACATTCTATAGTGGGGACAGGTCAGGGGTGCAGGCAAGCAGGCCAGTCCAGCACTCGCACCCTTTTCCTCGTGCAGGATGAGGTTTTGCATTGTCTTGAAATATGCATGGGCGTCCCTGGAAGAGATGCCGTCTTGAAGGCAGCAAATGTTGCTTCAAAAGTAATCTTGAGCCAATGTCGTTAAATCGCTTATAGAAGAGTGATGATTCTTGAGGTAGTGCCGTTAATTTAGATTTTACATACCATCCCAGCTTCTTTTTCATTTGGGCTTGTACATATTTCATAAATATAAGGCAGACTGCTCATGACAAAGTCTACAGTCAAAGTGAAGTGATCAGCAGCCAGATGAATCATGTAAACACACATTATCTCTGAAATCATCACTTTTAACTACCATTATGCGTGAGAGCTGTTAGGTTTTTCTTTAAAAATATTAAAAGATTATGAATTGATAAATTATGAGATTATACCTTCAATTTGCATCTAACAATCAACAGATCTTCTCTTCATTTGAGGTCCAGTAAAAGAATGCTGCAGCACTTACATATGACACATATATTACTGAACTGAGTGTGCTGTGGAGTTAATTACTTACTGAATTTAAGTGTTATAATTTGCTTCGGGGTGTATTTGAAAGTAGCATTTCATTTTGTCATACACCAATAGCAAACATGGTCTTCATAAATCCTTTTGGAGCTGGTGATGCTGGCATCAGCTAGACGGGAGCAACAAACACCCGGGCCACACACCTGATCAGCCTCTGTTTCACGCTGTAGCAGACAAAGTTACAGTGTGATCCCCAAAGTGCAGCCGCGATATCACCGTTTTCCATGTGTTCTGCTGACAGCCCACCTAGCAGGAGTGCATTTTCTCAGATGAGGAGAGGATTGTCCAGCACCGCCACTCCTGCTGCTACGCCTCCATCCGAGTGTTCTGAACTCTTGGTCCTCAGCAGATGACCCACGCACTCATTCATCACCATGTCTTTACCCCGCCTGTAAGGAAACGAGGAGCAATGACAGACTGACTAGCACATTTAAATAACACGTCACAGAAACAAGACAGGGTTACTGATACAGTGCCTTGCGAAAGTATTCGGCCCCCTTGAACTTTGTGACCTTTTGCCACATTTCAGGCTTCAAACATAAAGATATAAAACTGTAATTTTTTGTGAAGAATCAACAACAAGTGGGACACAATCATGAAGTGGAACGAAATTTATTGGATATGTCAAACTTTTTTAACAAATAAAAAACTGAAAAATTGGGCGTGAAAAATTATTCAGCCCCTTTACTTTCAGTGCAGCAAACTCTCTCCAGAAGTTCAGTGAGGATCTCTGAATGATCCAATGTTGACCTAAATAACTAATGATGATAAATAGAATCCACCTGTGTGGAATCAAGTCTCCATATAAATGCACCTGCACTGTGATAGTCTCAGAGGTCCGTTTAAAGCACAGAGAGCATCATGAAGAACAAGGAACACCAGGCAGGTCCGAGATACTGTTGTGGAGAAGTTTAAAGCCGGATTTGGATACAAAAAGATTTCCCAAGCTTTAAACATCCCAAGGAGCACTGTGCAAGCAATAATATTGAAATGGAAGGAGTATCAGACCACTGCAAATCTACCAAGACCTGACCGTCCCTCTAAACTTTCAGCTCATACAAGGAGAAAACTGATCAGAGATGCAGCCAAGAGGCCCATGATCACTCTGAATGAACTGCAGAGATCTACAGCTGAGGTGGGAGACTCTGTCCATAGGACAACAATCAGTCGTATACTGCACAAATCTGGCCTTTATGGAAGAGTGGCAAGAAGAAAGCCATTTCTTAAAGATATCCATAAAAAGTGTCGTTTAAAGTTTGCCACAAGCCACCTGGGAGACACACCAAACATGTGGAAGAAGGTGCTCTGGTCAGATGAAACCAAAATCGAACTTTTTGGCAACAATGCAAAACGTTATGTTTGGCGTAAAAGCAACACAGCTCATCACCCTGAACACACCATCCCCACTGTCAAACATGGTGGTGGCAGCATCATGGTTTGGGCCTGCTTTTCTTCAGCAGGGACAGGGAAGATGGTTAAAATTGATGGGAAGATGGATGGAGCCAAATACAGGACCATTCTGGAAGGAAACCTGATGGAGTCTGCAAAAGACCTGAGACTGGGACGGAGATTTGTCTTCCAACAAGACAATGATCCAAAACATAAAGCAAAATCTACAATGGAATGGTTCACAAATAAACATATCCAGGTGTTAGAATGGCCAAGTCAAAGTCCAGACCTGAATCCAATCGAGAATCTGTGGAAAGAACTGAAAACTGCTGTTCACAAACGCTCTCCATCCAACCTCACTGAGCTCAAGCTGTTTTGCAAGGAGGAATGGGCAAAAATTTCAGTCTCTCGATGTGCAAAACTGATAGACATACCCCAAGCGACTTACAGCTGTAATCGCAGCAAAAGGTGGCGCTACAAAGTATTAACTTAAGGGGGCTGAATAATTTTGCACGCCCAATTTTTCAGTTTTTTATTTGTTAAAAAAGTTTGAAATATCCAATAAATTTCATTCCACTTCATGATTGTGTCCCACTTGTTGTTGATTCTTCACAAAAAAATTACAGTTTTATATCTTTATGTTTGAAGCCTGAAATGTGGCAAAAGGTCGCAAAGTTCAAGGGGGCCGAATACTTTAGCAAGGCACTGTA